TATATATATATATATATATGTGTGTATGCGCAAATCACAGCTGTTATTGCGGTTTATTTGTCAAGGAATTTCGCGCTAATTAAATCTGCAAGTATCGTAAGTGCAGCGTGGAAAGCGATCCCGGAAGCGTCGAACCGCGCGCTGTTACCGGACGGTTGCTGTATACCGGGATAAAGCGTTCCGCTTCGCTATCTCGTCCGCGGCGACGAATATACAGAGGGAGGGAGTCGAGGAGTTGTAATTTTAAACGGCTCACGGTTAATACCCATTAGCGACTGGGTTAATACATGATTCACGCGCGCCAGAGATTGTCACATTCGGCTCGATTCTAATTATAATTTATCGTCCGTATGCGATCCCCCACCTGACTTCCGCCTTGCATGTACCCGTAAAAGCTCATATCACTCGCGACGGTGCGCATGGGCACATATTGGACAACGATATAAATGTACGTTAATTTTTGTGAAACATAATTCGAGATTATGTGTATATTAATTTCATTTTACGGTTTAGAGATATTACATTATTGCGTCCATTAATATTTCACTGAGAATAATTACTTGGTTCAAGTATTTTTCAAAAGTTTATATAAAAGTTCGCAAATCTATCATAAGTTCATCACAAGCATCAAATTTATTCAAAAGATTATTAAATTAAAACAAATTCAATTTGTTTATTATATAAAGTCACTTCTTCGATCAATTTCATAATGTTTAAAAGAAAATGAGTTCTTATTTTGAGTACATAATAATGAGTTTCTTCTAAAATTTATAAATATATTTTAAGATCATTATCAAGAAAATATTCTTTGTTGAAGTTAATCATGTTGCTTAAAACGAAGAAAGTAAATTAAATCACTTTTTTTATCAATAGAATGATATTTTTCTGTGTGTAGTTGAAAATGAACTAAATTCTAATCATATCAGAATATATTATAGTTATTTTAATTAGGATTATTACAGATTTAACCAGAAAATTCTAATTTGTCCTTTTTCAATCAGAATTTCAATTAATGCAACCAGACTCAGTGTTCGCGTATTTCTTTCGTTAGATGCTTTCTATGCTTTCTCGCTTTATTGCGTGAATGACACACAGATTTACTTTGCTATTTGTACGCTTATTTGTACGGTTTCTCCTTTAATTCATTGTGAACGGGATCTGGTTCTACTTGAATCGAGTTTGAAAAAGATTAATTCTGTGACGTGCTAATAAAATCTTTGCGCAATATAAAGCTGTATTTTATTTCTTTTGCTAATTCTTGCTAAAATTACTATAATTTTCTGATTTCCCAACGGTTACTGTAACGGAAACTGGTTGGTAATGCGCATACGTGTAATTTATCTACGCGGTGTGCGTGTGTGTATGCATGCGTTCGTAATACATTCCGGCTTGCGGAATTACAAGAGACGATTTAAATACGCGTTACAAACTAGCCA